GGCCCGCGTCGGCCCGCGTTTAGCCCGCATCCAGTTCTAGCCCGCGGCTCTCACATCATGCGGCCCGCGAGCCGCCCCTCAGCCCGCATCCCTTCCAGCGCACCTTCAGGTGAAATGGCGCGGCCCAGCTCGAATTTCCTGCCCATTGGACGCCTAGTCGCGGCCCAGCGCACCATATGCGGCTCATTTGGTGTCCAAATGAGCCCAACATGGCCCAGTGAGCATAAATATCCCCAATTTCAGCCCAGGTGAGGTAATTTGAGATTTTATTCTCATGGTACAAGGTATGTGATTAATTTAAATTTGGAGACCGAAGGATGTTTAGAATTGGTGAACGTTGGAGAGTTATTTGATATTCATGAGGATTATTTGATTAATTTGTGGAGCATTATCTACTTTAGCCGAGGAGAATTATTTGACTTAATTGAGGCGATTACTTGATTTGGGCGAGTGAATATTATTTGGAGTATCCGTGAAAAACTATTTGACTCGTTCGTGGATATTATTTGATTTGGTCGAGGAGATGATATTTGGTTTATTCGTACAAAATTATTTGATTTATCCGAGGAGCCTACTTGATTTATTGGTGGAGTATTACGTGATTTATTCGTGGATATTGTTTGATTTGTTCGAGGAGGCATTAGTTGATATATTTAAGGAGAATTATTTGATTTGTTTGAGGAATTATGTGATTTATTCGATGAGGCTATTTGATATATTCGTGAAAACTATTTGACTCGTTCGTGGATATTATTTGATTTGGTCGAGGAGATGATATTTGATTTATTCGTGCAAAATTATTTGATTTATCAGAGGAGCCTACTTGATTTATTGGTGGAGTATTATGTGATTTATTCGTGGATATTGTTTGATTTGTTCGAGGAGGCATTAGTTGATATATTTGAGGAGAATTATTTGATTGGTTTGAGGAATTATGTGATTTATTCGATGAGACTATTTGATATGTTCATGGAAATATTTGATTTGTTCGTGGAATTGTTCGATTTGTTTGAGGAGACATTTAACTTATTCGAGGAGATACTTGATTTAGTCATGAAATCGTTTGATATGTTTGTAGTAATATTTGACTCGAACGTGAGAATATTTAAATTATGCATGGAGGATTATTTAATTTGCCCGTTTTGGATTATGTATTTATGTGTGGATATATTTGATTTGCTCGAGCGATTATTGGATTTATTTGATTAGTTCGTGATGATACTTGATTAGATCGAGTGATTATCGGATTTGCTCGGGGAGATATTTAATTTTGCTCATGGCGATTATATGATTCACCCGTGGAGTACGTGGTTTATTCGGGGATTTATTAGATTTGTTCGTGAAGATATTTGACTTGTTTGTGGACACATCATTTTATTTATTTGTGGATATACTCAATTTATTTGTGCAAGATTATTTGATTTATCATGGAGCGTATCGGAGTTATTTGTGGAGTATTATTTGATCTATCATGGAGCTTATTTGATTAATTCGTGAGGATTATGCGATTTGTCCGTGGAAAT